ACCACACTCTCCCGAGTGAGCCACAGGCCGGCCCCAAAACATATACTTTTTATTTAGCACATGGTTGAAAAAAAAATCAAAAATCAAGTAATATTTTGTGACATATGAAAATCATATGAAATTCAAATTTGTGTCTGTAGTTTATTGAAAACTACCCATGTACATTTGTTTATGTCATTTACATATTGATAGGTTCTGAACATAACTGGTGCCATTTTAGGAAAAGCCAAGCACAAAATGGCTGCCAACCCCCCTCTTTTCCCTTTATGAGAAGCCTCATGACTTCTGTGAAATAGAAACCCTTTTGCTTCTGCATGGGTGCAATTTTCCACCCTGGTTCTATCAGCCAGGTGGAGCTTCCACATTAGCATAATGCCCCTCCTTGATTGTATCAGCCACCCCTTGGTGCCCTACAACCTATATAAGCTCTTCCACACTGACGCCTGGTGCTGCTCTCCACCTTGAGGGCAGCCTTGGCTGCTGCCCTCCATTTTGAGTGCAGCCCTGCAGATTCTTTTCCTTTAATAAGGCTTGATAGGTACCCGGTGTTTTGGCTCACTTTCTTTCACAAATCATATGGTCTGTGGCTACTTTCATGATCCAACGTCAGAGTTGAGTACTTGTGCCCTCAGAAATCTAAATATTTTTTTTGGAGCTGGCCAGCATGGGGAGCCAAACCCATACCCCTGGTGTTATAAGGCTGCACTCTAACTAGCTGAGCTAACCAGCCAGCCAAAATCTAAAATATTTACTATTGGGCTGAGCCCGTGGCGCACTCGGGAGAGTGCGGCACTGGGAGCGCAGCAGCGCTCCCGCCCCGGGTCCGGATCCTATATAGGGATGACCAGTGCGCTCACAGCGCTCACTGGCTGAGCGCGGTGCAGCTGGTCTCAAAAAGGACAAAAAAAAAAAAAAAATTTACTATCGGGACCTTCACAGAAAAAGTTTGCCAACCCCTGTACTAAAGTGTCTCTATAGAACAAGTTTCATGGAGCAATCCTCTGGTGTGAAGGACTGATCAAATTAATGGTCCCCGTTCTTCACCCTTCAGGTGTTCATGCCTTTGGCTTTGAAACTTTTTAGTGGCTTCCCATTTTGACTCTGGGCTCAGTCACATGACTTGCTTTGACTAATGGGAGTCTAAGAGACAGATAAAAGCAGAGGTTTGAAATGGGATTGCACAATGGGGTTTGTTCTCTCCTGTTACCCTGCCACTGTCATGCGAACAGGCCCAGGCTAGTCTGCTGGAAGATAAATCATGAGTAGCCCCAGTCATTGCAGCTGAGGTCATTTTAGGTTAGCCACAGCCAAAGGATCCCAAGATCATCTCAGCTGCC